TAGGGAAAAAATGCAGCTGTCAGAATAGGAGATTACGAATAAAAGGAATAACAATTTACCGGTGTTTCACCGTACACTTTGAATTTTTTTGTTTCTGCGGGGAACGGGATCGCGATAGACAGACCGTACATCATTCGCGCCACTGACTTCTATTCCGGGCTATATCTCTCAGCGTCTCTAAACAACGACAATCCTCATCCCTTGGGCCCTAACCTGGAAGGCGGGCTGCATCAATCGAAGCCAGCTTCTTCATGCCTCTTGCCATCGAAAACGGATATCCAAATTCAGTTCAGTTCAGTTTTTACAACCATTAACCATGCACTTTCGTGTTCCGGTTTTAGTTTCTGTCTTTTGGTTGCCCATTTGGATAAAAGAGCAAAATGAAGATTGGAATGTCGAAGCAAATTCAAGCGGAAGATGGGAAATGCATATGGTGATGCTAGGAGAATAAGGAGTGGATGCATGAGCGCCACCCAGCCGTATCATTCAGTGTCTCTAACCATCGGTTACGATCATCCCGAGGTCCCCAGCCAGGGAGCCTAACGGGACCTATGTGAACCAGTCTCCTGGTCAGGGTTTTCATACCCTCATGTCAGGTCTTAGTTTGACCACCATTGACCTTTTCCAAACCGCTAAATGCCTCGGAAAATATCGCTCGCCGTGGCAACCTATTTGGTGACATACGTAACACATGTCCCAACCAGCGTAATCTATGGAGGTTGATCACTTGCTCCAGTGGACGACCGCGATTACCTAAAACTCTACGCCTAACCTCAGCATTGCTCGTCCGGTTTCCCCATCAGACTCGGGCAATCCGGCGTAGACAGCGGTGTTCGCACACCGACAATCGAATTTTATTCTGTTCCCTTAATGGTCAAGTCTCTGCACCAGAGCAGAACTGATCAAATTGATGCAGTATATACTCGACCCTTCAAAGACAACCGGATGTCGCGACGTCGCCATAGATGTCTCCAGTTGACAAATGCCAACCGAGCTTTCTGTATGTGCGCCGACGCTTCATCCGTGACAAAGTTAAATAGAACAGGAGAGAGAGGGCAACCCTATCGAACACCAATTTCCGTAGTGAACTCGGGTGAAAAAGTGGTGTAAGCTCGAACTCGGCTTCGGTTATTATTGTAGAGGCATTGTAATAATGAAATAAACTTCTCGGGCACTCCCTTCAGGGAAAGGCAGCACCAGAGTTTAGAGCGGTCGACTGAGTCGAAAGCCGCTTTTAGATCGAGGAAGATAGAAATGGTGGGTCTACGAAAGGAGTGTCTATGTTCTAGGATTTGACGGAGTGTGAAGATGTGGTTAATACAGCCTGGACCAGGTATGAAACCGGCCTGTTTCTCACGCGTACAGCGTTCACGTGCGGCAGACAATCGACGGAGTATGATACCGGCGAGAAGTTTAGAGGCAATACTGATTAACCTAATTCCTCTGTGGTTTTCACAGGAGGATCTGCCACCTTTCTTGTAAATCGGTATGATCACCGATTGTTCACGTGCGGCAGACAATCGACGGCTTATGATACCGGCGAGAAGTTTAGAGGCAATATTGATTAAACTAATTCCTCTGTGGTTTTCAATCTATCACCTTTCTTGTAAATCGGTATGATTATCGATTCACACCATTCAGTTGGAAGTTTGAAGGGTTATAGTTAAGAAAGTGTGCGGACATTGCATATGGCTAAGTGAAACGGAGATTTTGATTTCAAAAATATGTTATCTTCTGGTGTGGTTGACCTTACCTGTTGAACGCCAAGTGATATCCCATACGTTGTGTAAATAGGAGACATCTCATATCATTTGAGAGTAAGAGAAAGAACTGGACGGATGAGAAAGAGTATTTTCCAGATAGGTACCCAAGGCTTTGGGGCACCTCGCGGTAGCCCACACCGAAAAAGGAAAACCCATATAGGATATCGTTACAAGAGCGCATTCTCTTGTAGTGTACACCGCAAGGTCGATCCTTACGACAGTGTACGGATACATACCAAACTCAATCAGACAAAAAAGAGAAGATTCAAGATGACAATACATTTTTCGAATGCTCCTGTATCAAATGGTTTTGAGGGCGAAAGGCTACTTGACGCCCACGGCCCGCACAATTGTATGCTGAACAAGGATCCAGACTGCGGATATGAGAATGACATTGGTGGTTTGGTAGAATTGTTTTGATGAATAAACAAGTTGCGGGCGATTTTCGAGGAATTGGCGGATTATCGTGTCAGGGCAATAATCCTGGAATAAAAACTGTCATTGTCCATAGAGAGTATTGTGACGATATCAGAAGATAAGGCCGGATAGCACTTGGCTGCGTAACGGGTGGACAGGCATCCTAAAGGAAAAGACCGGAGTACTAGGGATGATTTACAAGATTCCGAGGATTCTTGAGAGATGTGTGTGAAGCCAAGTTATCCTCTTACGGAAGGCGTCTACAGACAACGAAGTATGAAAAGGAATGCCATTAATAAAGGTTATCTTTCGAACTTGAGTATACCACTATCCATTGAACGCGAATTGAATAATGATACACGCGATAAATTCTCTTCACTTTTCGCAGGATACAATATTGGAAAAGCTGCGCCTTAATAGTGCAGCTCTGAGAACCCAATTGAGAAAATGCAAAGATCAGCTACGGCAAAAGGAGGAAATAGGTGAGGTGCTGCATGCAGTCGATTTCGAACAGCTGAAGATTGAGAATTCCCAATACCTCGCCAAAATTGACGAAAAGAATCAGGAAATTCAGAGGCTGAAGGCCATCGCTGCACGAACCCTCCATATTGTAAATTCTTTGAAAGTAAGTATTATAATGTGGTAAGAGCCAAAACATTTGGATTTAGATAAAATTACATGAACTGCACCAAGAACACCGACGTCAGGAAGCAGAGATAAATCAGAGGCAGGAAATCAGCAAAAGAGCAAAGAACGAAGCGGTTACCGTAATGAGTGTAAGTGATTTGAATCCGAATTGACTGATTAATGTTGAAAACGTTTAAGGTCACTAAGAAGCAATCACAGAATTTCACATCTATCTCATGCAGCATTCTGCGCAATCCCCACCATTGCCGTACAGTAAGCCCACTTTAGCTGACCGCTACCGAGAGCGCAAAGTAAAATCAAGTGTGCAAGAAAGAAGGAAATAAAAGAACGGTGTTCCGGGGGCGCCTGGATTTGGTAGAAAAAGTGAATTAATCAACAGAGGGGGAATGATCTGCATTTTTCATCTTTTGGGAAACTTGTGGCTACATTACTTCTGTATGCATAGATACATGCTCGCCGATGATATACATCATTTCTTCAGTACAACGAAGACCAATCTCGAATCTAGCCGCATACACGAAGCAACTTAACTTAACCAAATTTAGTTCCCATTGAGTTGTTGACTTTCGCTTTCTACTCAGTTAATAGCTGCTGAATAGTTAACGAAAGGTACAAAAGTATGAGGTAGCAGTCGTTCGATTTCCTAAAGAATAAAAGATCTCGCAGCGTACTACACCAATCGAGAGCTTTATTACCACGCATTCTATAACCTATAGAATTCAGAGTCCCAGGGAAACCAAATTTTGTCCATTCAAAGGTATGTGCAGTGCCTGTAACGATTTGAACTTTTCTTGGTTTGATTCATCACAGTAGAAAAACCATTTCTGTTTCTTGATCTTTATTCTATCATACAGGAACTCACGGCAGAACAGAAATTCAATAAAAAATTCCAGGCACACGTGGAATCCTATCACGTACCATCAATCATGAACTTTGTTCAACTCAGAGCAACAGAAAGACAGTTATCCAAAGAAGAGGCGACTCGTAAAAGAAAACTAAAAATAGCAGAGGTGAGCTTCTGCAGAAAAAAACCTTGTAGGATCTGAGTAGAAATCAGAATTCAGTCTCTATATTAACACCGAAACTGGACGGTGTCACTTTGCTTTTCAGATGGCTCTGATCAGGCATAAGAAAATGTGGCGACAAGTGCTTCGTTCTGGTCTCAGCGGTGAAGTGTAAGAAATATCCGGACGATGCTCCGAAGCGGATCAATTATTAACAAGAGTCAATTCTAATGATTATTTTGATTCCATTTTTGAACTCTTCCACTGTTGGACAATGTTTTCATCACTCATTTCTCATATGGATTCATACTTGAGTCTCTTTGAACAATTATCAATGCTCGATAAACACAGCCACCTGGTTTTCATATTTGACCGCAAGAAGGGAAAATCAAGCTGGACGCGACAACTGTTTCATACTTTGGCCATCCGAAACGCAATAATCCATTCAATAACCGTAATTAAACAAGAAATGGACAAGTTTCCAATAAGATTAAATTACAAAAGCGCCGAAGACTCGTCTGTTAAAGAACACAGCCATAAAACAGAGTAACCAATACGACAAAAATTTTCGAGAGAAACCGGAGAGAAGGAAATAGAACGTACAGTTTGAAGGACAAATAGGCCAAAATATCAGAGTTTAGTTTGAAAACATAGGTCCCAGATGTCTGAGCATAGTGTTCGACGTCGGAGTTGTGAATTGTTTTGATATGGAAGGATTAGTTACTTCCAGCGATTTTCCGTTTCCATGTGTCTGAAAATGTATAAGATAGCAAAACAGAAGCAACGAAAACCGTAGGTCTAGTTCACAGAAGGACAATGCAGAAACAGTCCAGGAAACGGTCTCATTTGCTGGTTAAACACTCAAACGAATATGCGACAATCCTGTGGCCAGTGGACCGGGAATGCAAACTAATTAGGTTTAAAATGTACATACCTCAGCGCCACATTGAACCTTATCAGGTTCTATTGACGACCAAACAGAACGCGGTCAATAAACACCGTAATACAAATTCCAGGTGATAATTAAAGAAAATCAAACGAGGGCAAGAACAATGTGAAATAAATTGGGATAGCATGTGCACAAGACCAAATTATGAACCGCTGAGGGAGAGGAAAGCAAAGATTCATACAACTAGAGGAATTTGGCGGACAGTCCGAACGATTGAGAGAGTAAACGTACCTGAGAAAAAGTTCCACCTGGTTTACGACGAAACACGACAAAACCAGAGTAGAGTATATATCTACCACAGATTTGCCTTATCAGAATTCGTTAATTCACTCTTTCTGTAAATTACAGCGTCTAAAAGGCCTACATGCTCCAAGTGGAGCAGACAGAAGGTATCGCTAGAAAATTGCAAGATATGGTGAAGGTAAACCCGGGAACTAAACAAACAATAAAAAAGTAAACCACATCCTATTCCAGATAAGGAACACTGAAGACACAAACGCATAAGGTGAGCGCAACAAAGCCCTAATTGAAGTGTGTGCATACCAAGGTGCCAAAATTAATCAATATTATGCCATTTGAGCCGACAGACTTTCTAATCTAAACTACGGATTGCCCAAAAAATTGCACATTGATCGGGGAAGGTCAAGTGTTTGCACAAACTTCTGGGCACACAGGGATGAATCCGAATAATTCCGGCCCCGGTCGTGGTTAGGATGTGATGCTTCACTAATCTTGATTGCCTACGTCGAATTGTAGATGGGTCGAAAGGAGTATCTCATAGTGACTGTGTGATTTGATTCAACGAAGTGTGAGTATCCACTGTTCATTGTTTTACTTGGGCAGCGTACATTATTCTATTTACTGTATCTGAGAGTCTTCTTTCGGTAAATTTTGACTTCATATCTCCTTTGAACGCCAGATGAATATTTACAGGCTCCAGTGCCTTAGATCTTTCATCGTGTTATTCCATTTCCGTTCCGGGTAACCGTTTTGTATAATAAACGCTCCGTAAGAAGTGCAGTTCATCATCAAGAGTGTCCGCCGCGCATAGTTTCTTTGCTATATGCGACATACATCCTAAAATTCTATCCCATAGAAGTGGGACAGAAGTATGAAAGTGAATATATCGACCGCATCGCGTGGCCTTCCCAAACTGAACGGAACAATCACTAAAGCGATATACGGATACGAGCTTCGCAATTTGTTTGCAAACGTTTCATCACCAGCCAAGGGGAAATCATCAGCGCTTGTGAAGTATTATTCGTTCAGAGTTTATAACAACCGATTTGTGTCCACCTAAAATACTGAAAATCCCCCCCACTCGAGTGCATAAAACTGCTATTAACTTGACTTGAAATATAGTAAATAGTCAACGAATCGCTGTGTGAAAAAGGATGATAGTTTTCGAGTCTGGTCATCGCATATCGGCAAATCATAACACTCAAGGTGACTCCAATGTAATGTCATCTTCCATACGAAATATTTCATCACTGCATTAAAGCCTAATGCTATATGTGCATACCAATAATGGTTTCAACTCGTCTAATGGAATGTCCACACTGATTTTTTTCAGGAATTTGCATATACAACTACTGGTCTTAGAAATTAATACGTTCACGAACAGTAAAGTAGGACCTAGAGTCAGTATCTGTTGGTCTTCGAGATCTACAATCAGGGTATTCAAAAAACGAAAGATTTCCTCAGACTGTTTGGACACTGAGCCTTTTACTGGTTTTAGTAAACTGGCAAAGCGTTGCACCATTAAGACAACGGGAATAACTTGTATTCAGAATTAGTCTTATAGGAACACTGCTTGTGTAATTTCGGCAGGACAGTCTTGGAATTGTTGTACCCATTTGAAAGAAAAAGGTCAAATAATCGAAATGTACCAATAAAATAATACAAACAAAGTAATACATCGGCATCCTGCAAATAGGGAAAAGAAGTAGTAAAATCCTTAGTTAAAATTACCTATTGTTTGATAATAAAAACCAGGGACAGTGCTCAAATTCCACAAATAAAACGAAACAAAAGTAAACCACTGGAGAAAAACAACAACGGACTGCGGGATCGGCAATTGAGATAAGAAGGTAACAGGTGACCCGTCACGCACCGTAAGGTACAAACAATAGGGTTGCGCACAAGATCACCGACCGTACTGTAGCATTGCCTTCGAATCCCATGAGGCATCAGTTTGCACTTAACCATTCATGGACTCTCGAGGGAGATACAAACGCGATAAGCTACCCCAACCGGCTTATCTAAACGCCTTTCAAAACCCGCCGTATGAAAAGCTAGAACTAACTCCATCTAAAAACAATCAATTAGAACGGGCCACTTAGCAACAATGTTCATAATTCTATTAGTCTAGTGAGTTATGGCCTGACGCGTCTTGTCGTGACAGCCTGGATCCTACGGAGTGGGTTACACGACCAAAGTGACATAAGTGAAAATCTCGGCATCACAGAACTGATAATGCGATGCGCAGCACATGCATAATATTCCACTGCAAATAATTATGCCATCCTCCGAACCCACAGGTTTTATACTTACACAGATAACTCAAATGACATGATAGTGGATTGCTATAAACAACCATTTACCTGAAACTCTGCTCATGAAAAAGGCGGAACGAAGCTTAGAGAACCGTAATTTCTGTTTACCAAGGCGTGGAACAGCTATAGGGTTCCGTACAAGTGCGAGAATTAATTGTTGTCTCCATTTTTACAGAGGGTCTGGGTGGTGATCGAGCCAACCGCATGGCTCTAAGCATAATCTCAGTAGCACAATAGCTGTTAGTGCCCATTAGTCATTGCAAGCTGCACTATACGCGCCAAGAGCAGATCCATAGAAGCAGGATGGGTTTCGCGCTGGTTGTGGGTGAATCCATAATGGTTTTACCCTCCAACAGTTGCCGGAGTAACGTCACGCCTTGCAAAGACCGAAAATCCTTGTGCTCATTCGATTTCATTTATAGTACTGCGCTATAGACCTGCTTATTGACAAATGAAGCAGCTAAGAAGTAAGTGTCGATCCCCAAAAAATTGCACCATCATACTTCAGGTCGAGTTAGAGACTATCACCAGCTTTCGACAACTTTCGCCGTCTCCCGTGAAGTCAGATATGACTGTTCTATATGGCCGTTTCTCTTCAACTTTGTCATGGAGGATTTTCTATGAAAAGGTATCTGATTTAGCAAACAATAGAATGAAATTATCACAAAACAGAACTATTAACATAGAATACGTCGATAGCATTGCCTTGCCTACTGACAATATACAGGCAGTAAAGCACGCTTTCAACTACTTGGAAATCGGGATGTCTAAATACAGTATGTGCATAGCACCATCAAAATGCAAAATGTTTGCACAAAACAAGTAGGAACCTGCATTCACCTTTTATGATGACCACCTAGAGATAGTCAACAGATAGGAGCTTGATTAAAGCAACAAGTGCTGCTGAGGAGGGGAGGAGGATCACATTATGCCTATCAAAAGCTAGGACGACAGTCGCTAAAATGTGACAACTGCGGCACCGCCAACACGTTCGACTTTCAGGCACGGGAAGGGTACACACTGACGCGGTTCTAAGNGGTACACACTGACGCGGTTCTAAGACTTACTTTGCAGTCGTGAGGCTAATCATATCCGTTCTAAGGATACTAATCAACTTTTGTCTTCGAAGCACTGTTAGTGTCCGGTGGGAACATAAGGTCAGCAATGAAGAGATTAACCGTCATGTATTTGTTGCGGATAGTTGTTTCTAAACAGGCAACTGCTTTGAACCATCTCCGATATCTCTGTTATGTTTTGATCATACCTGCTAATCGTCCATCCCTTTGTGCTTTCTGTGCACATGTTGGATAAAGCTAGAAGAAGCGTAGGGGCAATCAGCCCATGAACGGGCGTATTAGTATGAAAACGTTAGCTTCAACAACGGCTTCTGTTCGTGCAACAACCTTCTAGATTGCGACTTAAAGGATGAGGATTGTTGTTGAAATAAGTTGCTCAGAATAGAAATTAGTGAATTGAACACCGCGTACCTCGTAAAAACAAACGTAACCACAAAGATTGTACGACTGCATACAAAAAAAGACGCTTTGTTAACTGTTCACTTTTGAAGCCAATTCTCCTCCTCGCCTATTCCATTGCTGTTTTATTGCTCTCAAATCGTATAAACAAATATAAAACATATCCATGGAGTGTCGGGAATCGTCGCCCAAGCGC